TCACTTATTAACAGTGACTTGCTGCCACCTACTGGCGGTTTTATTTTCACATTTAAAGTAACTTCATTTTTAAAATTATTTCAGATATCAGTATTCAATGTTTTATGTTTAATATATCAAAACATTATTTATGCATTTGTAACTGCAGGTTAAATGTATTCATGTTCTGCATTAAACTGTGTGTAAACGCATCTAAATGCCACTTCAGATGCAGCTTATTTCTGGATTGCAAAGATGAATTTTGTTGATACTGATTTCATTTGCTTGGTAACAGCCCAAATGTCTTATTCTTATTCACTGATTAAATGTAAGAATTTGACTTAAAAGATAATGCACACTTATAGAAAAATGGCTTTATAAAGGTAAAATGCCCATAAAAGGTAAAAATCTATTTAAACTTATTGGAAAAGATTAATTTCTATCTGACCACCACACAGCATATGAAGAATATCAAAAACTTTAGGAGTCGCTGTCCACGAAAGTCCTTAAGATACCAGCATGATAAAGCACTCAATCAGTTGAATGAATGACTCAATAGTAATAATTTAGTACTTTCTCCTGTTTTATTGTTGGTTTCCTCTTTTCTGATCATTTGGAATGAGGATAAAAAGACAAAAAAAAAACTTCCAAATAAGTTCAAACATCAATTCAATATCCACTATTTCCTGAATATTATGAAATTCAAGATGGCCGCCCCGATTACGTCATAATATGCATATTAGATGAGTATATTTACACCCCACATAAACTTTCGTTCATGCCCAACATTTTTCTAATTTACAGTAGATCTCTATCTTTAAGCCCTTTCAAGCCACAAGCTTTTGAAATCTTGATTAAAAAAAAAAACCTGGCGCCTAAAGGGTTAAAATCTCCGACAATTAGCGCTTTATCAACAGTAACCAATATGTCTGAGAGGAAATCTGCAAATTCTTTTAGAAAATCTGTATACGACCCTGGTGGTCTATACACAGTAGCCACAGCAAGAGATTTGGCCATTATTTCTGTTCTACTGCTGCTTTTAAATGGGTGTTAACTTGTATTTGTCTCTTTTCACCCTAGATCTGAAAGAGGAGTGTGAAGTACTGAATGAAATGCAAGATAGAGATCAGTATAGCAAAAATGATTACATAACTGGACAAAAATCATTTAGTTGTTCACAGACTGAAAAGACTTCCTCACAAAAAAGAGCTCCGAAGACTGGAACTAGAATTCATTTCACCTGCCAACAGTGCGGAAAGAATTTCAATCAACAAGGAAACCTTAAAGTCCACATGAGAATTCACACCGGAGTGAAGCCTTACACCTGCAAACAGTGTGGAAATACTTTCACTGAAAAAGGAAACCTTAAAAAACATATGAGAGTTCACACAGGAGAGAAGCCTTACACCTGCAAACAGTGTGGAAAGAGTTTCAATCAACAAGGAATCCTTGATGTCCACATTAGAGTTCACACTGGAGAGAAGCCTTACACCTGTCAACAGTGTGGAAATAGTTTCACTGAAAATGGAAACCTTAAAAGGCACATGAGAATTCATACTGGAGAGCAGCCTTATGCATGCCTTCAATGTGGAAAGAATTTTAAACATAAAAGCATTTATAATGCCCACGTGGGAATTCACACTGGAGAGAAGCCTTTCACCTGCCAACAGTGTGGAAAACATTTCAGTCAACAAGGAAACCTTAAAGTCCACATGAGGGTTCACACCGGAGAGAAGCCTTACACCTGCAAACAGTGTGGACATGGTTTCATTAAAAAAGAAAGCCTTAAAAGACACATGAGAGTTCACACTGGTGAGAAGCCTTACACATGCTCTCAGTGTGGAAACAGTTTCACTCAACTATCGAGCTTTAACAGGCACATGAGAATTCACATCAGAAAGGAGCATTAAACCTCCAAATTGTGTGGAAGAACTTCACAACAAAACTAAACCTCAAGGCCAATGTATACTTCGGTTTTTACGTCTACACGAGGGTCTGCGTACAGTATGCATGACACAAAATTCACCAAAATAGTATGCGCACCATCTGATTTTTGTACCTGTGCGTACTTTGTACGTGCAGGTCACATATGAGCATTGACTTGGTTTTGCACTAATCAGTTGTTCCAAGGGGGCAACACTGGTCCAGGTCATTGTTTTTTTTTGCAGTAGAAAACAAAACTAAAGAGACAGAACAACAATGCTAACAATGCTAGTGTTTGGGTACAAAAACTAATTATACTTTAGGTATCACATGAACAGTTACACCGGTGAGAATCTGTGTACATTTGGTCAGTGTGGGTGGGGGTTGGGGGGTATTCAGGGTATCTGCAGGATTTTTTAAATCTAATTTAAGGGCGTGTTCACACTTGTAGTTTGGTTCTCTTGGTTCGGACCAAAAAAGAAAACGATACATTTGGTCCTGGTCCGCTTAGCGTTCACACTGGCATTTTTGACAGTGAACCTAAAGATACCGAACCTAAAGGCATAGTGATACTTTCACAACCTGATTGGTCGGGTTGATGACGTATATTTCGCAACGGGACTCACCGAACACCCCAAACAAAAGCTGTGTTCGACTTAAAGCGACGCTGCTCAGGCC